CTCCCAGCATCATCTTGTTGTAATGCCAACTCATGAACTTTAAGTAGTCCCATGAGTTCCTCCAAGGAGAGCTTTTCCAGAGTTTTGGATGCTCTTAGAGTAGTAACTTGTGGTCTTCATTTCCTAGGTAAACTACGAAGTAATTTGTCAATATGATCAAAGTTATCGTAACTTCTACCTAAGAAGCAAATTTCATTTACGATGATGGTTTGGAATCTTCCAAACATAGTCTGTATAGATTCACTTTCTTCCATCTCAAAAAGTTCATACTTACGTGCCAACAAGCTTAACTTGTTGCGTTTCACTTCTAGGGACCCCTCGTAAGTTAAAGCTAGGGTGTCCCACATTTGTTTGGCACTTATAAAGTTGTGAACTTTAGTGTATTCTTCTTCAGACAGAGCACACACGAGCGCATTGCGTGCTTTGGAGTTCAGCATAAATCTTTTTTTTTCTCTTCAGTCCATTGTGCTCTGGGTTTCTCGCTGCCAGCCTGATCTAGGGGAATGTAGTTTCCTTGCTCAACGACGTCCCATATGTCTATATGACATGCATCAAAGAAATTTTTTTTTCTCAGCAAAACTAATTTTCAACGTAAGAGATTAAGTAAACTAGTTTTCCGTCTGGAAAACGTTATCGTCTAGTAAAGTAGTTTTAACAAGGTCAAGTATGTTTTCGTCCAAAGCTTTGTTAAAAACTGAAATAGAACAAGAGCAAAGTAAGTAATACTGAAAAGTGAGGAGAATGCATAGACAGATATACTGGTTCACTTAATCTGAGCTACATCTAGATCAAAGAAATAGACATGTAACATGTCAGCACTATCCACACAAGCTTATCAACATGCATGGCTCTTGACGCACTAACATGCAATGGTCTCATGCATGAATAAGAGTTGTATAAAGACACAATTGAGATAAGTGCACATCTCTAACCAATATGGACATGAAAACCATGCGTCAGGGTCATAGTTTTGATTTGTATCCTATATAGCTACTACACATGGAAGAAAGAAATATAGTTACACGTGGCTCTCTGTTTTCCTATAACACCCACCATTACAACAATAGACAACACTCAAACAGGTAAGGGAGAGAGAGAGAGATGCAATAAGGGTTTGTTTCAATTTTATATTTATAGTACAACATGAGACTTAGTAACTACAAACTACAGATAATTTTTCACATCATAAGTAATTGCTTGTCAACATACCTCACTTGGTTCACCCCATAATTTGTGCAAATAAAAATCAGATTCTGATACAATAATTCCAGGGGGTAGTGTTTCAGCTCCACAAGGATTTGATGGAACAAATATCTGTGAAAGTAGCAATTTGGAATCAGACTTTATTTGCTTGTTAAATAACATGCTACAAATATAAAGCAAGTATAATTATATAATGATGCCTGAAATCTATAGCCACAATGCATTCTTAATTTTCACTTTTAGACATAGAACTCTATATTATATATTATATTCTTCCTTTGAATTAGAATTGCTAAGAATCCCTGTATCCTACGTAAATGATAAATACATAAAATAAAAGAATTATATATTATATTGTAGAATGGAAGAATCACATTCTTAATATGCTTGTTGAATTGCTAAGAATTGAAAACAACACCAAACCACTACATCCTACTTATATTTGGTACACGTAAATGATAAATACACTACAATAGATCCCAACCGAATTCAACTTTCATTATCAAAAATTTAACTGCAAACCATAAAAGTTCATCTATAAATAACACGAAGTATACCTCACCACCGAAGTCCATGATGTTTAAGACATTAGGAGGATGGAGGGATGGACAAAGTATATTTTTTTTTGTTTTAAAAGGACCAATTACTTCTATAAAATAGAATTAAAGATGAAGCTACTCATAATCCTTTTACCTTCTCTAGTTTAAGCCACAAACATTGAATTGGATAAATCATTGTTTCTATATATTTGAATCATTTTACACTAATTAAAACATAATTAACATTTAAAACCTATTCCTAACAAGTCTAGATCAATATTTTAGATTGAAAGTTAAAAAATTTACTTACTGGATACCAACTTGCTCATAAAGTTGAAACTAATAAAAACTGATAAAAGTGAAAGAAGATTTACTCTTGTGGCATACTTGTTGCCTAACATGTGGTGAGGGGCCAGAATTGTCTCTTTAATCCTAGCCTTAGATAGTTAATCCACCTTAGTTTATAGCTCTTTCAATTTCTCTGCAAACCTTTGCAAAATTTATATTTGTCCCATCAATATCAGGTGAACATTAAAGGGAAAAGGAAAAATTATTAAGGCATCTCCAATTTATTGATGTTAAAATCAGTGGCATGCCCACATTTCCAATTGACAGCATAATCTGAGATCAAATTAGTTGTGGGCAACTTGCAAATCAAAGAAAAGAAACATGAATTCTTCAAGAAAACTAACGATGTCTCCATTTAATAATACAACAGTATTAAGATTATGCAATAATGCTCCTTTTTCTAGTATATACTAGGAGTATGGTTACTTATTAAAAAGAGAATAAGTGAAATGAAAATAAAAATTACTTGTTGAAAGCGACAAAGAGGGAATCGAAATTGTGAGGGTCTTCCAAGTAGAATTTAAGCTCAGAGGCGCGTTTGGCAGAGGAGAATCGAACCACAGGGGCTCTGGTCATGGTGTCGTGGAGGACTATGGAGGAGGCGCCACCGGAAGCATGAATGGCCTTGCGGCCACGGTTGGTGCTGGCGACGAGGCATCGATCCCTCGGTGGTGGCCATGGGAATGGTGTACTCCTTCCCGTCGAGGAGCAAAGGACCGGCCACGCCCACTGGGATTTGAACAAATAAGTCGATCGACATATTGCAGCATTGTCCCAGGATGGAGTCGTAGTCAAAGCCTTCTAGGGGGAGGCCATCGAGCAACCGTCCAACCACGTGCTCCATGGCGGCGCGACAAATGGTGGCGGCGCGACGGAAGTCGGCGAGGCGGCTTCCTCACAGTGTTGTAGGCGAATGATGGTTGCATGTGAGAGAACGATTAGGTAGAAGGAGAACAGGATTAGGGATTTGTGAGAATGGACAAAGGGTTTAGTTGTGGACCAGTTCATCCTGAGACAGGTCCTTAAGATAACCAATGTAAAACATCATATATTACATCGTTTTTACGTGTAACTGATCTAAATATACTAATCTTTTACGTTTATTTACAAAAATGCCACCTTGTTTTATTTCTACATCGATTTTATGTTAACTGATGTAAAAATGATGATGTAAAATAGTATTTTCCTAGTAATTCACTTTTTAAAAGTTAATTGAGTAATTATTTATTTATTTATTCATTATTTTGATAGCCAAATACGAAGTGTCTTTTTTTCTTTTCACTAATACTAATAATAATAACCTTTCAAATAAAATTTTAAAAATAGTAATTATTGGCCTTTCAAACATTAATTAATTTTTTTAATCGCACTAGTCCTCCCTTAATTCATGTAATGTAGGAATTTTATTTTGTTTATTTATTATTCAATATGTAAAAAAGATGATTTATTATTTGAATAATTAACCATCAAAAGTAAAAATCCATTTAAAAATATTTTAATACTTTTCTAGTATACGCTGATATTTTTGAAATACTATTCCTTTAAGGCATAAAGAACTTTGCATATTCTTCGTTTTTGTCTTTTTTCCAGAAAAATATCTCTCAAGCGATAGTAAGAAACTACTTTTTTTTTTCTCTTAGATATATTGAAAAAAAAAGAGTGAATTTTACTTCTTCCAACAAAATTTCCTTCATACATGTTACTAAGAATTGAACTCTCACAATAATGACAATATGCTTAAGACTCAACTATTTATCGGTTTTAAATCTTATAATAAAATCTTTTTCATGTATATAGTCTATAATCGAACCCTTAAATAAACTTAAATTACGCGATTATCTACTAATTGGACTAAAATTAAGTATATCTTAACATTTATAAAAGTATGGTGAACGGTGGTTTTTATATAGCATAATTTATGCATGAGGTGTAGATTTTGAATTTGGATCCTCTCCTGCAATTTTCTCTTTCCAACCTCTCTCCTGCAACATTAATAGCCATGGAATATATCTAATGGCTCAAATTTAATTTTATAATTAATGTAACTTCTTAAATGATTAAATTTGAGCCATTAGATATATCTAATGACTATTAATGTTGTAGGAAAGAGGCTGGAGAGAGAAAATTGCATGAGATGATCCAAATTCGTAAATTTTGTGTGTATTCCAAATATTCTTCGTAGGTATTACTCAAATCAATTAAATGTATGTCGATCTTAGTAAATATTATATATATATATATATATAT